CCGGGACATGGGGTCGCGGCGCAGGTAGATGGGCGTCGGCAATGCGGGCCTGGGGGGCAGGAAAGGTGGATAATGACAACTCGCAGTCCTCACTCGGGCGAAACAGCTGCGCGGAGTCGTTCGCTTCGAAAATGGAAACTGAGCGATGTTTCAGGCAGCGGCACCGGCCCGAGCGATAAGCGGCAGCTAGGCGATTTATCGGTGTCTGTCGGCTCGCGACTGTCGAACGGCAATTTGAACATTGGTCGTGATCGTGTATCTCGTGCGTTCGAATGCCCGCCCGTGCTCTCCTCCCTCCCCGCTCATGCTTTGATGGGCTCGAGGCGCTTGTTTCGTTTCTGCTGCAAACAGGCGCATCGCACCATCTTCGCGCTGGAAACCGCGCGCGCGGCGAAGCTGGGGATCATCGGTCTCTGGCTGCAACCTGCGCGGTGGGGCGGGCTGTTCCAGCCGCAATTTCCGCAGTCGTCTGGACGCAAGCTTAATAAACGCATCGCGGCCAAGGGTCGGTCGGACAAGATCCAGCAGGTCGTCGCCAAACGCGTCGAGGCATGCGCGCCCGTCAGCAAAGACCCGAAGTAGCTTCACATCCTCGTAACACTGGCGTCGCCAAAGATTGTCCACGCGCGTGAATGTAGGTCGCGCAGGCCCCGCGGGTGCCCGCGCGAACTCAATCGCGGTCGTCTCGCACTGTAGCTTGCCGAGTGCGCTCGCAAGAAGTTGGGCGCGGTCCGCAGGTTCCGCGGCGACTCGTTGCCATCGTTTCAGGCGCAGCATGAGGGGGTCGAATGAGGCCGGGGCCGTCATCAATCTCTTCCAGAACTCGATGGAAAAGATGTTTCTGATAACCTCCTTGGTGCAACTCTCGTCGTTGTCGTCGGCCGCTTGCTTGCTGTGGGCGGTGCTGCCCGGTAGTGGAGCGCGAGCGCATCTTGCAACGAATGCGCCCAGTCGCGCAAGTCGTGGCGCGGTTAGCACGCGTGCTTCCATCCCAGGAAGCGCAGCTGAAATGACTTGGCAGCGAAACACCATCTTCCGTCGTCCCAGGTATCTGCGAGAAATCCAGAAGCGCCCCGTGCTGCGCCGCCCTCGAGCTGTAGCAGTGCAGCGCGCCTTGAGCTCGGCGTCGTCGAGGCCGTTGGCTTGCGACGCGGAACCAAGAAAGATCGTGGAGTGGTGCGCTTCGCCGCCAACCTCGATCTTACCGCAGCGTAGCGAGCGCGCGTGTCGACGTGCCCCAGCGCCAAGAAAGGCGGGTCGGACAGCTGTCTCCCCTCCGTTCTGCTGGGGGCCGATCTCGTTGAGCTTGTTCTTCAGGATGCTGTCGGAGGTCTATATCTTGTAGGCTGCCATCTGGGCGTCGCGGCACAGGTGGGTCTTCGCGAGGACGTCTGCGCACTTGCGCGCGCTGGGGCCAACGCTGGCGCTGGCAAGCTCGCAGCCTGCAACTAGTGACGCGGTGGCGTCGGCGTGTCAAAATTCGTTCCGAGCCGCAGTCGGCGGCATGGAGGACGCTCGGAACTTGATCGCGGCATCAGAGTCGCCCATGCAGCAGCCAACTGTGCTCTGGTAGCCTTGGGTGTCGATGCCATTCGCGATGACGCATGCAGCGCGTCGGTGGCGCCCCTTCAAAATGACGCATTCTCTTGGCCGGCAGATGGACCCCGCTGCTGCGTCGATGTGGGGGTGGTCGACCGCGGCGAAGGCGTTCGGCATGTCGCGCTTGGCGGTGATGTGGCCGAGTCGGAGTTATTATAGTCCCCGCCGCAATGCTAGTCCGACTGTGTGATTGCCGCCGATCTGGAGCGCGCTCGCACGTGACCATGCTCTGCGTCATCGATCGGCGCGGTCGCAAGCGTCTGCCTGGATGCGACCCAAGCTTTGCCGAAGGGGCAGAGTCCGCGGCGAAGGCGTGTGCCTCGCGTGCGTGGTTTGTTATTCATCTTGCTCACCTGGTACGTCTGCGAGAGGTTCCACAGCGCGTTGATGCGTTGATGCTGGCGAACGGCTGCAAGTTGTGCGAGGATAGCGTCATGCAGAAGTAGTCCAGGGAAGCTCTGGGCGGGATCGCGTGCTCCGGCGCCGTCGTCGTCGTTGCGATCGACCAGGAGTAGCGCCCATCTGTCGGCTGGTAAACACTCAGGTGCTGCGCGTCGTCGTTTACAATGCTGTCGTAGCCGGCGTCGGATCGGTCGAAAGTCACGCTCAGCGTGGCGCCATTGGTGTGCTGTAAGGCAGAACGTGTTGTCGTGGTCAGCGGCTGTCTGGATGAACTGCATGATGTCGACTGGGTGGGCTTCCATGCCGCCGTCAGCAGTTGGTGGAGCCATGTCCTCGGTCCATGTCGTAATGGAGGGTCGGGAGTCGGGGAGGTCGAAGTGGCACCGTTTGCCTGGGCCTTTGCCGTTACCTGCAAGTCGTCGGCATGTTTCCCACACTTCAGCTTCAAATGCCGCTTCGTCTGCTTGCTCTAGTTCGTGATGGTGCTGTGCGTCTCGGTGCTCGCGTATTTGTCGGCGTAGTCGTTTGCATTCGGCGCTACACCGTCGTGGGGGGAAGGTGTGCTCGAGGTCGTCGACGTGGCTCTTGCGTGCCACTGTCCGTGCATGCAGTGCTGCTCGTCGTTGTGCGGTAAGGTGCTGGAGTTCGTGGTCGGTCGTTGTTTGGGAGGTCTCGAAATACTCAAGGGCACGCGCTCGGATGATAGTGAGTAGTTGTTGCCAGCCGTCCTCCATGGTGTGGCGCTCAACCCAGTCGGCCATGTCGCGGAGGCCGCGCTCGTTGAGGTGGTTGGCGAGGTCCATCTCGATGGCATCCCGCAGTTGCGGCGCCCATTATTGATGTTGTGCTTTGAGTCCTGCAAAGAGGATGCGGGTGTAGTCCCACCGCGGTACCGTCTTCGGCTGGTCGAACGTGAGGGCGCACTCAACGTCCAGGTGCAACATCATGTGGTCGAGGAGGCGTGGGGATTGGGGATGGCAATGTTTGTTGTCGTGTCGCAGGTCGGTATGCGATGTTGTGTCGTCGTACTCGGGGGGGAGTAGCGTATGGGCACGGCGATGTAATCGATGTGGCCGAAGTGTCCGCGCACGCCGTGGCAGGTCGGTCTGCATGAGTAGTGGGTGTTGGTGGCGCAGAGCGCGTGTCCGGTCATGAGCAGGTGGAGTGCGTCGCCAGCATCATGCTCTTCGCCTCGAGCGTGTTGTCCGACTGTTGCGTCGTCATCTCCGCGGTGTTGGAGGCTGTCGTTGAGGTCGGTGCCGATGAACACGCAGGTGCGATTCGGCAAGGGGGAGAGGATGCCGTGTAAGTAAACGATGGTCTTGTCAACCACGACCTCGTTCTTCGCAGCAGTAGTGCGTTTTCTGAGCCCGTGGTGGGAAATACACGGCGGTGAACGTGTAGTCGAACTGCGTGCTGTTGTTGACGCGGACAGCGCCGATGCGGCCTGAGTCCTTCGGGTGGTTGCCATACCTTGACGATGTGGTTTCTTCGGGGAATGCGTCGGCTGGGCCATATCTCTGTGCCGCAGGACTTGTTCCCCGTGGAGTTGCGAATCGTGTTGTTCCAGCCCAACCTCACCATCAAAAGCTATGTGGTTGAGTGGGTCTCGTAGGCGGTCATAGTTTTGGTCCGGGTGCCCAAAAAGATGACAGCACCGATTCGCTCCACATCACGGGACATTTCCAGCCCCTTATCGTAATATTGCAGGGACATCGGGTTTCATGAGATGAGACGCATGCAAGATGCCAGTGTGTGACACAGACGCCCGAACTCCAGGGGGTGGGCATATTCGTCCCCGCTCTGGAGACCGCGGAACGCTCGAACCAGAACTATATACATTTTTAAAAACATATCCAGACGATCGTACACATATGATCGTTCGTTGAGAAACCGTGACGGTGGGGCGAGGAAAGATGTTCATCCATGCTGGATTAAGGGCCTGTCCTGGGGTTCAGAGGAAACCTGCGACGACGAACGATGGACAAAAACCATCCTCATCGGATCGTGAGCTCGGGTCGAGTCGGAATGTGTGTCAGAAAGGGCTGCATCGGCACGGAATCGAAATAAAATCGGATCGGCCGCGCCAAGATGCACAACAACACCACGCAAGCATCGGGCCGCATCGGGTCGCCCGAATATCGAAATCGAGTCAGATCGAGCCGTGCGAAGCCGACATCGAATCGGATCGATCGGATCAAAATGGGCCCTGATTGAAAACCGACGACGGACGGCGACGATGATACACGGCGACGACGGACGACCGACAGTGATGGCCGCGACGGACGAGCCATGGACGACGGACGGCCACGACGACCACCGACAGCGCGTCTTCAGAACTTAACGTGCTTTTCTCTGAGGGTTGGGAGGGGCAGGGAGGGGGAAATGCAGTCATCGTGCTACCCTTGTGATCGCTGAGTAAGGAACACAGGGGCCTTTTCTGGCCACGGCGACCATCGGCCACGAATCGGTTCCACTATCCAGGTCTAAGGATAGCCCCTCCTGAACCCAAAGTGGTCCTCATCTCAGCCATAGACCACACGTCTCATTGTTCGACTGTGCAATAGGAGCTCGACCACAAGACATTTTCCGCAAGAAACCCAACCCTGAGACCCCAGGACGTTCATTGTTTTTCGCTGTGGGAACGTCTTTTTTTCATGGCAAAACCATCGACACCCAAGAAGCCCATGGCACACTGGAGGCAAGCACGGTGTTTCTTGGCATGGGCTTCCATTGTAAGGAAACCGACGACGACGGACGACGGACGAGGCACGGAAAACGGAAGGCGATGACGACCACCGACACCGTGCTCCTCCCTAAGTCCAGCATCTTGGCTGTATACAACCAAACCGATCCATGATAAGTAATCACACGAACCAGATGGCTCAATACTTCTGCCGGTTGTCCAATGGACAATGTGTGTACGACTGTTTCTGTTGGCCCCCTGGCCCTCGGAGAGGCAGGGACACCACGGCTGCAGGCACGGCGAGGGAGGGCGCCTTGCCAACCGCCTCCTTCGATGCCGCCTGCACCTTGTCGACGAGCTCGCCTGTGGCATTGGCCGCCTCCGCGGCCGCGTCGATGCTGGCCTGGAGCGCCAAGGCTGAACTGTGCACATCGGGAAGAGCTGCCCATGATCTATACCTCTCACGACTACCTCTCACGTCATTGTCCTCCTCTCCCTGTCCATCCTCATTTCTCATTTACTCCGGCCGATCGCAAATCAGTCGAGGCCCTCCCATTCTACATGTGAAGATTTTTCGCAACATCAACGCATTTGCTCTGAATACGGACGTCCTGCCGTCCACGCCGCAAAAGGTGTGGGAGCAGCGGGACGGGGCGCACATCCCCCCGCGCGAGAGGGCGAAGCGTCCTCTCGCCTCGGCATCGCGCCCATTTTTCTAGCGAGTTGGAGAGAGGTGCACCCGTCTTCTTTGTTTCCGCCTGGCTTCCTGTGCCAGGTGGCTCGCCAGGCCGCGCAGGCGGCCTCGGATGTCGTGGCTTTGCGTCGGCTTCAAGCTCCGTGGGCGGCAGAAATCCACTGGGGCCCCGTGCTGGCCGAGCTAGCGAAGGAGAAGGATACCTCGGAAGCTTGGCGCAAGAGGCACCAGCATGCGGTTCGGTCCGGCAGCGATGGAGCGCACTGGTGCCAGCAGCGCCTTATCCTAGCTGGCAAGGCCGCCGACCCCTCTTGCTGCGGCTGCGTTGTTTCGCTACGGCATAGAATTGTTGATTGCCCCTTGTCTGATGTCATACGGAGGGAGGGGAGTTCAGCTAGCCTGCCTGAGGCTGCCAGGGTGGTAGCCGCCGGTGGGCCGCGACAGGCAGAGCTCTCTTGCGCGTGGGATGACGCCCTCGCCAGAGCACCGCTTCGGCCAGACGGAGGGAGGTGGCTGAGGCGCATCAGTGCAGCAGATCTGTTGGGTGCACGTCTGGTTGGCTGTTCTCAGGGGAAGTGTTTGTGGCTGGGCCGTCGAGGAGGAGGAGGAGGAGGAGGAGGAGGAGGAGGAGGAGGAGGATTTGTTGGGTGCATGTCTGGGAAGTGTTTGTGGCTGGGCCGTCGTTTCGCACATCCCACGGAGGCCTGCGCAGAGCGGGCTGGTCGGGGGGTGTGCGTCAAAGCTTCCGCGGCGCCGTGTGCGGAGCTGCCCCACCGGCATATGGCCCCCGAGTCCAAGCGCGAGAGATGCCGAGGACCTTGCTTTCTGCATGCTGTGCAAGTGCGGCTGCGGCAAGACGCGTCAGGAGTCGGGCCGCAGAGGGCGGGCCCGAGCGGCTCCAGCCTCAGGATGGTGCACGGCGCGCCACGAGGCGTGCCTCCCCGGGTGCCTCACTCTCAGCCCCGCCGGGGGCCGAAAACGCGCGGACGAGCACCGGAGTCCCGGGAGAAGGCGGAGGGGGCAGTTCTGCCTAACCTGATCTGGACGGGCCCCTGTCCTGTCTCTCTGGTTTCCCCAACAAGTGTGCAGACGCGATCGTCTGCGCAAATTGGCCCCCCCCAAAAAGCACCGTGCCCGTCGAGTCCCAAGCACCGCAGCTCGACCAACGTCTGTAAAGTCAGAGCTCACACCTGTGCCAGTGAGGACTCCTCGTTTGCAGACACATGGCGTAGGCTCGGTGACGCTGCTGCAGATTGATGGAAAGGAGCTGGCCTGTGGAACACCCCTGTGCAGAGAACCCTGTGTAGAAGCTTGCGAGGTGCGTGCCCAGGAGCTTGTCAGATGGGTTGGCCGAGGCTCGTTGTCAAGGATTCTGCCGACACTGACGGGGTGGTAGGAACCTCTGAGGTAGTCTTGGAGCTTAGTGATAGTCAAAGGCTAGAAGATGAAGTTGCTGCCCTGCATGAGGCCTTGAAGGCCCGAGAGCTCTCTGGATGGGCAGAAATAAATTGCGCTCCCACGCCCGAGCCCGAGGCTGCCCCCCAAACGGGGGACGGGGTGGATTTCGGGGCGGGGGGGATCAGTGGAAGGCCGTGGCTCTTTAAAGGGCACTCTGCTATTGCGTGTGATGTCGGAGGCGGTGCCGACGGCCTCCCGAGCCTGCTCTTTTGCAAGACGTGCGGGGCCTCGTGAAGCCAGCGCGTGCCTCCCGGAGGGAAAGGCCTTGCCGCTAGGGGTCCCGGAGCCCAACGTGCAGGTCTCAAGACCCAGCGTGCTCGCCTCGGGCGCCGCCTGCACCCGTCTGCGCTCTCACCTCTGGGGCTCTCTGGGTTCAGAGGCGTTGGCGAGAGCGACAGGGAATGGCTGCACGAGCGGCTGTCGGGCACCCCCCGCCCCCTGGCGATCTGGGCGGGACCCCCGGTGGCGGTCCTGGGGCCGAGGGGTGGGGGCCCGTGGGTGGCTCTGTGGGCGGGCCCTCTCGGGTGGTCGGTGGCCGAAGTCCTGGGGTGCCCGGCAGCCCCTGGAAGTACGGGACGAAGCTCCACGTGCTTGGCATCTACAAAGCCGCCTCCTCGAACAGCTTCTCCTCGCCCGACTCGGCGGTCGAATGGGCGAAAGGGCTCGGACGAAGTCGCAGGGAAGCGGACGAGTCTTGGCCCCTTCTCGGCGCTTCAGGTGACTAGCCTGTGTTCTGCCACATGGTGGCGAGGCGGATTCTCACGCCTATGTCTTTGCACCCTTGGGACCACCTCCTCCCTTTCCTCCTCCCTTTCCTCCTCCCTTTCCTCCTCCTCCTCCCTTTCCCCCTCCCTTTCCTCGTCCTCCTCCTCCTCCCTCTCCTCCTCCTCCTCCTCCTCCTCCTTCTCCTCCTCCTCCTCCTCCTCCTCCTCCTCCTCCTCCTCCTCCTCCTCTTCCTCCTCCTCCTCCTCCTCTACTTCCTCCTCGCTCTCATCTTCCTCTTCCTCCTGCTCCTGCTCCTCCTCCTCCTTCTACTCCTGCTCTTCGTCCTCATCCCTGTGCTCCCTCTCCTCATTGCTCCTCTCCTCCTCCTCCTCCGCCTCCTCCGCCTCCTGCTCTTTGTCCTCATCCCTGTGTTCCCTCTCCTCCTTGCCCTCCTCCTCCTCCTCCTCCTCCTGCTCCGCCTCCGCCTCCGCCTCCCCCACCCTCTCCTCGCCCTGCTCATTGCCCTCCTGCTCTTCTCTCCCTTTCGTCCTCCACATCCCCTCCTACCCCGTCCGTCCTCCCCCCTTATACACCCTATCCGTCCTACCCTCCAGCTCCTGCGGCTCCTGCGGCTCCTCTGACTCCTGCGGCTCCTGCGGCTCCTCCTCCTCCTCCTCCTCCTCCTCTCCTCCTCCTCCTCCTCATCTTCCCTCCTCCTCCTCCTCCTCCTCCTCCTCCTCCTCCTCCACGTCTGGCCTCTTCTCCTCCTCCTTCTCACCACCTTCCCCCTCGTTGAGCGCTTTGCTCAGGAAGTCGGAGCGCCTAGGGTCCCGAAGAAAAGACGCCTCGAGAATAAACCCCACACCCCAGCATTGGCATTCAGAAGCTCGCACACTGAGTCCAGGTCAGGAGTCGCAATGAACAAGCAGGGTCGGGCCGTCGGGGCCTGGAGGGTCAGAAACTTCGTTTGGGAGGCTACCAGAGCACTCTTGGGAAGTCACTCGGGGGCTCTTCGGAAGCATTTTGCGGGGATCTTGGGGGCCTCGGGGGAGCCTCGTGGGTGCCTCTTGGGGAGCCTCACATGGGGGTCTCTTGGAAGCTCCTGGGGCCATCCTATGCCATCCTTGGGTCATCTTGCGGCGAAAGGGTCGACATGTGTGTTCGGGTTGCCCTATGGGCTGTCTTGGGCCGTCTTGGAGGAAACTCTTTGGGACGTCTTGGCGCCCTCGTCGGCCGTCCGGGCGCTCTCTTTCGTGCGGGTATCTTGGGCCATTTTGAAATGATCGGGCGGCCTTGTGGGCCGTCTCGAGCGGTCGGAAGCCCGTCAGGGTGCGGGCGCCTAAATCTAGCACACAAATCAAAGGAAGCATACAATATGTCGCCTTTGGGGGGCCCTATGGTATCGTCTTGGCGCCCTCTTGGGGCGTGTTGGATCTCTCTCCAGCCTACTTGGCGCCATCTTTCTTGGCCGTCTTTGAGCGCTCTTGAACAATCTCGAGGTCTTCTTGGCCCGTCGTAGAGGTCCTCTTGGAGGCCCCCCCAGGGGGGGTCAAAATGACCCCATCGATGTCATCGAGGTGAGCGGGCACCTGTGGGGGAGGGGGTAGAGGGAGGATAGCAAGGTGGAGGGATGATGGCGGTCAGGCTGCGAGCTGTGAACGCACTTGGGAGATTCGGAGCAGCGGCAGTGGCTCGACAACGCCTACACAGTGCTGACACATGTCGTCCGACCTCTGAGCCCCTGGACACGCCAACCTTGACTACCCTTGGGGGGGCCACCTGCTCACTTCTGCCCGCCTGCACCGGGGCCTGCGCCGCGTTTCCGCCGCCTTCGTTTCGGGTGTTGCTAAGGGTGCCCCTGGCCCAGGGCCCGTCAAGCTTTTCGCTTCTTTTTGGAAGCCCTGGGGCCCTCTGGGCCTCGCGAGGGGTGCTCCGGAGGCCGTGAGGGTCTCCTTGGAAATGCTGGGGGCAAATGGGGGGTCCCGGGGGAGGTCCCGCCTGTGGTGAGGGAGGGCGGTCCTGGGTCTGAAAACCGCCCCCCAGGGGGGACGCCAGCAATGTCTCCCGGGAGGTTCTGCCTTCAGGGTCGGCGGCACAGGCCGTAAGGCTTTCACAATCCTGGGGGCACCTTGGGCCAGAGGCACATCTAGTAACACTCGATCGTTCTGCTTCCGCAGGGCCCTCTGCGTGCCTTCCGCCGAGGGCGAGAGGTCGACCCACATCGCCGCCTCAAAGGCGAGGCCCCTTGCTGAGCGGACCCCAGCGCGGCGGAGTGCCAGAGGTCGCCTTCCGCGGGACACGGTGCCCAGACCTCCGATATGTCTTGATTTTTTCGATGCGGGTTCCAAGGAGCTCCGACCCCATCCTTGCCACCACTTCGCCAAGGCCGGCTTGTCATTCTGGGTACAGCCGAAGATGCAATCAAGACAATTATCACTCAAGAGATCTGGGCCACCTTCCCGGGAGCTTCTTGAAACGAACCTAAGCCAACTTTTGTTGTTCACGCTGGAGGGGCGAACGTGCTCAAGAGACTGGGCCAGCTTTCGGGCAAGTTGGTGAAGGAACGCTGGCCCAGCTTTATGGGAGGGGCTTTCTTATGAGTCAGCTGCTCGACTGTAGTTTGGACGGTACCGGGGTCCGACGAGGGCCCCCAGAGGCCGAAAACGGCGAACATCCTGCGCCTACAATTTTTCAACACGCTGGAGGTCTGGGTGTCTCGATAGAGGGATCACGGGCCCGGGCGTTGCCGAGGTGCGCGGGTCGAGGACTCTGGAGGCCGAGCTTGCAGCGGATGCCCTGCTCCCCACGGACACCTCGGTGCCACGCCGCCAGGGGGGGGTGCGAGGCGGGCAGTGGGGCCCTCCCTGCTCCCAGCGCCCGCCTGCACCTCCTTCTTCAGCTCTTCGATCCTCGCCTCCTTCTCCAACCGGGCCTGCAAGGCGCTGGTATGACAAGGAGGAGGAGGACGAGGACGAGGAGGAGGAGGAGGATGAGGATGAGGAGGAAGGAGACGAGGAGGGTGAAGCATGGGAACGAGCAGCACGATCACCAGGGGAACAAGACCACGACGAGAAAAGATGAACAAAAGGCAAGAGGACAAACGGAATATCAGCAGCAGCAATGGGAGGGGGAGGGGAATGAGGCGCAAGAGGAGCGCAGCTTGGGAGGAACAGAACGAAGATGGAGAAAGGGAGGAGGAGGATAATCATGAAAGAAGGAGGATGAGAAGGAAGAAAAGAAGACTTAAGGGCAACAGCAATGGCGAGGATGGTGGCAACATGGCCCCAAATGGTTTGGGAGACGGTGAGGCGACAGCATCGGAGGCTGCGCGCAAGGGTAGGAGGTTCAAAAACGGTGTGGTGACAGACCGTGCGGTGACATCATCGGAATGCCCAAAGATCTCACCGCACGGTCTGTCACCACACCGTCGGAGGCCCCAGTCGCCAGATACATCCTCGGAGAACGACCCTAGTCCCAAAACGGTGCGATCACCCCGAATCGCACCGTTTGGGGGGCCCCCGGGACGGCCTGCGCTGGTACGGAAGACGAGCCGAGGACCCCAGGGGGCCACGACGAGCCCACGCGGTAGCCCTCGGTGCACCGCTCCCCACGGCGGAAGAACCACTAGGCTCGGGGGGGAACGCGGCCGCCTGGCGGGGGAATGCACTCCGCTGGTGGGGCGGCCAATACCGGCCAGTACAGTCGAGGCGTTGACCTAAGGAACCCTAAATAAGGAACGAGGCCCCTTCTTTCCACACGTTAAACTTCGATTTCCGATCGAAAACATAAGGAAAACCTGAGGCAAGCTGTGAAACACGTAAGGAACACGGAGCCCCTCCCCAACGAAAAGGGTTCCTTCTTCAGGGCCCCGACTGTACCATTCCTCTTTTCGAGCTGCGTCCCGAGCCGCAGCGTGGCCCACACAAGGCCGACCAGTAGGGGGGGTGCATACGGTGTTTCTGGCCCGAAGTGTCCCCAGCTTTTCGCCCCGTTCTTGCAGCAAGGACCGACCGTCCTGGCATTGCTGTACGCCTACCACGCCATGCTATTTGAACAAAGGAAGGCTAGAATAACAACAAATAGTCGTATGATATAAACCCGGTGTCTTAAAACACAAATGCTTCAGCAAGAAACGTTCAGTCTACTAACATTTCATGCACGCCACAGAAGGTTATTGTAAGATTCTTTCGTGGGCCTATAGGCAATCCAGGGCGCCTCGCCACTGCTTGAATTCTGAAGCCCCTGGGGCTTCGTGCAGGGTGCTCTGGAGGCCGTAGGGGCCTGATTGGAAATCCCAGCGACACCTTAGGTCTTAATTACGGACACCTCTGGCAACACCCGAACCAGAGGCATTGGCACTGCCGCTTGAAACTCTCACCGAGTCCCATCCAGCTGGAAACGGTCCTTGCCCTCCCCTGGGGGCACGAGAGCAACTATGCACGTGTGCGCAGTGGACGCGTCTGCTTCCCCCAAGGCCTTCTGAGCCCGTTCGGCGTCGGGGCCCATCTGACCGCCGACTGGCCGTACTCCAGACACAACCCTGCCGGCACTCGAGCCCAATCGGCGGGCTCGGGGCTCGTACGCCGAGCGGACTCGGACGCCGAGCGGGGCCCTCATGGGCATCCAGAGATCCGATGTGCTGTTTTTTTCCCATGCGGGGCCTCCAAACGTCCAGACCCCTTCCCCCGGGGGCCGACTTCTTATCCCGAGTCGGCTCTTGACGGCCCCGGGGGCCCAGCGAGGGCCCGCACGGCGAAGCACCTCCGCCTCGGCTTTGTCCACACATGGGAGGCCCTGAGGTTCGCCCTCCGACGTCGTAATTCTATGTTTTCAACCCGTGCGCCGCGGGAGCTCCTGGCCCCCATCCCCGCATGGGGCTCGTGCCTCGTCGCGAGCCGCCTCTCGAGGGCCGCCTCTCGAGGGCCCCTCTGGGAGGCCCCTCTGGGAGGCCCCCTCTGGGGAGGCTCCTCTGGGATGGCCCCATGCGAGGGCCCCTCTGGGAGGCCCCTCTGAGAGGCGCCTCTGAGAGGCCTCTGGGAGGCCCCTCTAGGCGGCCCCTCTGGGAGGCCCCCTCTGGGAGGCCCCCTCTAGGAGGGCCCCCTCTGGGAGGGCTCCACTGGGAGGGCCCCTCTGGGAGGTGGGAGGGCCCCTCTGGGAGGGCCCCTCTGGGAGGCCCCCCTCTGGGAGGCCGAAGTCGCGAGCACGAGCGCCCGCCGCGGGCCTCCTCGCGGCGCCCAGCGGCCTGGGGCCCTCCCCACGCAGAGAGTCGACACCTCCCCATACTAAAGGGGCCCCATAACACACAAGTACATACACACAAATAAAAATATCCCCAATATTTTCACACACTTTCTGTGTTTTTGTCTTCCCCCCGACTTCCCATATTTTCGCATATTTTCTTGGGGATCGACGATTAATTGTGTCCGTGTGTTTTGGCCCCTCCTGACATACCTCCAAGGGGCGGACACAAGAAACCAGCCTGGCGTGGGTTCGCCGCTTTCGGCCTCTGGGGCCCTTGCCGCCCTTGCCGCCCTTGCCGGGCACCGGGGCCGCCAATCCACGACTCCGACGGAAAAAGCCGCTCCCGGGGAAGGGGCCGAGACAATCGGATCGAATCGAACTGTGCATCGGATCGGGCCGCATCGGCACAGAGTCGGAAACCGAATCGGAGCGGCCGCGCCAAGATGCACAACAGCGTCATGCAAACATCGGGCCGCATCGAGTCGCCGGGAACTCGAAATCGAATCGGATCGAACGATATCAAATCGGATCGAGAAATGGACTCTGCCTTGGGCGCGCCATCTCAGGGGCTTCCGTGAGCGGGGACAACGATGAGAGAGCGGGGGATCAAGACCGGGACCGGGCCCGCGGGAGCTCGCCCGCCAGACCGCTGCCTAACGGGAGTGACACAATGGGACTCTGGGGGGCGCAACCTGAAGCAAGCCGCCAAGCCGTCTAGCGCGGCCCGCGGATCACGACGGACGACGGACGGCGCCCCCGATTTAGCAAGCAGCCTACGAGGGGCCCGCGAACGGGGACTAGTGGCAAAGTCTAGGACCGACACTTAGCCCTTCCTTTGCCCTTACGTATCATTGCGAGGAAGAAGAGGAGGATCGGAGGAGAGGGAAAAAGGAAGAAGGCGAGGAACCTGATCAGGAGGAGGACGAGCCATGCATACCCCGCTCACCGAACCCCTGAGGTGGATTTCCTCCTCCTGGAGGCCTCCGGAGGGCTCCTGACCCCACGGGGGTCCCCAGAGGTCCCCAGTCGCCCCTGAAGGCAATAACAATGCACAGCAAACACCACATCCTGCCCTTTTCCCCATTCTCCTTCTCCTCCATTGTTCCTCTCTCATCTCCCCCTCCTTTCCGCTCGTCTCCTCTTCTCTCCCATCTTCTCCTCTCCTCTCCTCCTGGTCCTCTGGGGACGACGATGACGATGACGATGACGATGACAATGACCGACGACGACGACGACGACGACGACGACGAGTGCGGCGACGACGAGCACGATGACGAAGACGAGGCCAGCGACGACGACGACGACGACGACGACGACGACGACGACAAGCACCACGACGAGGACGATGACGAGCGCCTTCTTACGCTCGGCGTCCATGGCCTGTTCGCGCGCAATCCCGACCTGGACCTTGCGACGCATTCGCGCGCCAGCGCCGAGCGTGTAGTGGAGGGGGATCAGGCGAGGGGGGGCCAGACGGGTCAATGTTTGCTCTGTACCCTCGTGGATCGAGGGGTAGGCTTAATGTTTGTTTTGCGTTTTTGGTCATTGTCGGGTCGCCTCTGGAGGCCTCCAGGGACCTCCTTGACCTTAAGTGGTCAGGGTCTGGGGCGGGAGCAAAACTTACCAGGCAGAAGAGGACCAGTTGCGGGATAAATGGAGAAGAGGATGGGAGCTCTGCGAGGCCATGTGCAGTACGAAACAGGAGCGAGGATAGCGGGGGAGAGACCCTTAGTCTCTGGAAGTCATCCTTCTTCACGCCCTTGCTGTCGCCCTCGACGAGGATCTTGAAGATCTGCGCCATCTCGGCGTCTCCCACCTGAAACCGAATAGCGGCAAGCAGACCGTCGAAAATGGCTGTCCATTGGACGCTCTTGCGGCTGCGATTCTTTCTGCCGTGGCGCCAGCGAGCCGTGTAGCCACGACGTCGCGCTGAACGCGGAGCCACATTTCGATGCCTCCCCTCATCCCTGTCACCTCTCCACTGCACCAGCAAACCTCGTCGGGAACGCTCCAGTGAAAACTGACGGGCCCCTGCGCGACCTCGCTTCGGGGATATGATACTTTCCGACACGTCCCCCAGTATCCTCCTCCGCCTACTCCTTCCTGGTCCTTCCTGCTGCTGCTGCTGCTGCTGCTGCTCATCCGCCTCCGCCTCCTCCCTCTTCAGCTTCCTCCTCCTCCTCCTCCTCCTCCTTCTCTTCCTCCTCCTGCTCCTGCTCAGGACGGCCAGCGAGGCCCCCCAGGCAGGCCAGAACAGAGAGCTGCCTGGCCGTGCATCCAGATGTTCGCAGAGGTATACTTTACAATCTCAAGCCCTATCGAGGCTTGCAACTGGGAACCCCCCTCCAACGCGCTTAATCTTAGCCTCCTCCTCCTCCTCCTCCTCCTCCTCCTCCTCCTCCTCCTCATGCTTCTCCTCATGCTCCTTCTCCTCCTTCTCCTCCTTCTCCTCCTCCTCCTCCTCCTCCTGCTCCCCTTCCCCTCCCCCCCCCCTCCCCCTCCCCCTCCTCCTCCTCCTCCTCCTCCTCCTCCTCCTCCTCCTCCTCCTCCTCCTCCTCCGTCCTCCTCTTCCTCCTCCTCCTCTCCTCCACCTCCTCCTCCTCCTCCCTCCTCCTCCTCCTCCTCCTCCTCCTCCTCCTCCTCCTCCTCCTTCTCCTCATGATCATCAACCTTACTCTTTCATCCTCATCCTGCTCCTCCATCCTCCTCAATCCTATCCCCCCTCCGTCCTCCGCCCTCCTCATTGGCTGTGCTGGAGGGGCCGCCGCGAACTTGTGGGTGGTCCTCGCATACGTCTTCACCTCGCCAAGGCGAGGAGGGTGAGGAGAGAACGAGAGAGATAGAGATAGAGAGAGAGAGAAAGGGAGGAGGAGGAGGAGGAAGAGGAGGAGGAGGAGGAGGTGGAGAAGGAGGAGGGAGGAGGAAGAAGAGGTCGAAAGACGGGGAGGAGGGATACGGGAGAGCGGGGGGGGGAATGAGGGAGGAAGTGGGGGAAGAGGGATGGGGGAAGCGAAGACAATAAAGGATTATGGTGGAATGGTTGCGCGAGGGACGGGAACACAGGGGGACGAGATGGGTGAGGGGGGGGAGAATTGGTGTGATCGTCTGCTGCTGTTGTTGAGGGGGGCGGCGGGACAGGAGGGGAAGAGAGATGGGGCAGGAGACGGGGGACGACAAAGAGGAGAGGTGGGAGGACAAGGGAGAGGGGGGACGAAGGTGAAAAGGGGGAGTAGGCACCAGAAACTGATGATGGGGTATTTTTGGTGGAGAAGGATGGGGGGGATTCGTTTGACCTGCCAGCTGCTGCATCTGAAGCTTCAAACGGATGAGCTGCAAGGACTGGTTGGAAGAACGAGGGGGGACACACGAGTAGGAGACGCTGGGGGAGGCGGGCAAGGGGGACAAGGCGACAACACAGGACGACTAGAATGACGAGGGGGACGTCGAGTCGATGATGTGTAACACTTGCACCTCATCGTTGTCACCCTCTTATCTACAACTACGCCGTACATGCAAAAGGCGGGGCGACGGAAGAACACGCGGCGAACAAGCCCGCGGGGGAGCACGACGGCGGACAACGAGGAGAGAGGAAGAAAGGGGATGCGAGAAGTTTCAGGAAGCAGGAGGCAGGCGAGCGAGGAGAAAAATGGCCAGAGTTCCGAAGCCATGGCAAAACATGCCGTATCCTCCCACTCGTCGTCCCCCTCCCCCTCCTTCAGCTCCCTCCGTCCTCCTCTTCCTTCTTGTCTTCTCCTTTTTCTTCTCCTCTTCTCAATACAACTCTTTTTTTCCCTCTTCATCCTCCCCCTCCTCCTCCCTCTTCCTCCTCCTCCACCTCCTCCTCCTCCCTCTCCTCCTCCTCCCACTCACCCTCCGCCTCCTTCTACTCCTCCCCCTCTTCCTACTCCGCCCACTGCTGTTCAACCAGTGGTCGCCCGTGCACCCTGGCGGACTGGAATACAACACCCCTCAAGCCTCGGCGTCCACGTCAGCGGCCCCGGCTCCTCCAGGAAACGGCGGCTCGCCAGCGGGATACGACGCCGCGCGCGGCCAGGCGCCCCGCAGCGGGCAGCAGGCAGCTGCGCTGCGAGCCCCAGGACGAGCGCTGTACCCGGCTGCGCGCGCCGGCGGCTTACACAGCCGCCCTTCGCAGCTGGCCGCGGCGGCAAGCTCGCTGGACCACGGCCGCCGCGCCCTGGGCCCTGGAAGGCCTCCGCTCCCTCGCCGAGCCAGCCGAGGCTCTCGTGGGCCGCGGGCCAGCCGCGGTGGCTGCGCACGGGAGGATACCTCGCCTGTGTTCCTCCACCTCCGCGGCCCGTGCCGTGCTACCCGCGGCCTCGGGCGCAGCCGGCCGGTGGCGCTCCGCGGCCGGGTGGCTGGTGGTGGCGTCCAGCAGGCACTCCGAGATCTCTGGGGCGCCGTGGCGCCACGCGTCGACAAGCCACCCCTGCGAGACCCCCTGGGGCAACTCTGGCGCGAGCACGTCCCGACGCACGTGCCCCCCGCCACCCCCCTCTCCACCATGATGCCGCAATACATCACTGTGACGAACTTGTCTTGAAATCTGCCTTCGCTGATAGCGCATCAGCGCGGCATGGTTCGGAAACATGGTTCGGAAACAGTGCTCAAACCACTCCGCGCGCGGGCGCTTCTCGCTCGATAATCCCACCAGCCCTCTGGGCGTAGGTGGTTTAGGGAGTTTCCTCTTCCATCTTCCCTTCTTCCCCTTCGGGGAGGGGTTTACCCCTCCCCCTAACCCCCTCCCCTGGACCTGGACGGGGGGTTCCGCTGGTAGTTGGAGCGTCCAAAACGGCCTCGGCGAGGAAGCCAAAGTCATCGGTTTTACTAGGGTTTTGGCCGATTTTAGAAGCTCCCGAGGGGAGACGCTAATTGGGGGACCCCCTTCCTTTGATCGATCACCTCCAATATGGCCCCAAGAGCGCTCCCAAGGCTCTCAAGAGCGCCCCAAGAGGGCCTCAAGAGGCGCCCAGGAGGCCCCAAGAGGTCCCCAAGAGGCCCTGAAGAGGCTCCCTAGACCCCCAAGAGGCCTCAAGAGGATCCCCGAGGCATCCAAGAATCCCCCAGGCGCTCCAAGAGGACTCCAAAACAACTTCCCAGGGACATCCTAGGAGGCTCTTGTGCACGTCATCGTTCTTGTTCCTTCTCATCTTTCTCCTCCTCCTCCTCCTCCTTGTCGGCCTACTCCTCCTCCTTCTCCTCCACTTTATCAGCCTCATCCTCCTCCTCCTTTCCTCTTCTCTTCCTCCCCCTCCTCCTCCTCCTCCTCCCCCTCCTCCTCATCATCCGCCTATTCCCCCTCCTTCCTTCCTCCCTCCTCCCACTTTTCCCACCTGCTGCCCCTCCTCCCCTTCTTCCTCCGCCTCATCCTCCTCCGACTCCTCCTCCATCCTCGCCCTCTTGGGTAAGACGGGTCCCCCAGCCCTTTGCTACTCTGTATGCTCCCTCACTTCCCTGATCACCGCAATTCGCCTGGGCATCGTTTTTGGATGGGCTGGTGGGGATACGCGAAGCGTCAAGAATTCATAGGGTGTGGAGCGGAGTAGTTTCCAATCCGAGTTTGGGATAACAGAGTAATAAACATTAGGCGGATCGGAAACTACTCCGCCGAATGATGCAGTCATCATGTGACGTTAAGAATATTCAGAGTGATCGGAGATATCATCATGGCACATTGAAGGAACATTTGTCACGGCTGCGGCCCTGATACGCAACACGCAACACGTAGCGTGTTGAGACGGAACTTAACACGCAAATTAAACAACGTACGTGTGGCATGGCACGTTCGCCAACATGTGGGCCAACACATGGAACCAACACGCAACTGGTTAACACGGACGTTTGAACACGGTACGGGTTGTCTTTCAACACGGGCGTACCAAAGCATATAAGAACTGTAAGAACTGTAGAAGTCCGCAGTGCTCCCGTTGCCAGGCTTGCGAAAAAGAGGGCCTCCCTCTCCTCCTGCTGCTGATCCTCCTCCTGTTCCAGCACCTCCTGCTCCTCCTCCCTCTGCTGCTGCTGCTCCCCCCGCCGCCGCCACTGCTGCTTCTTGCCCCACAAGGGAGGGGTGTGGAAGCCGAGGAGGATTTCCTGTTTGCCACTGCGCTCAGCGCTGAAAGAACGCTGGCTGACGCACATGCACCAGCGTGCCGACGTGGAAGCAGCACACACCCCTGCGGCACAATACAGAGACGAGTGCAGGACACTGGTGCCGACGACGGTCACGTCAACGTCAATGCAAGAGGCCAGAATTGTGGAGGGGGAAGGGGCAGGAAGAGTAGGAAGAAGGGGAGGGGGATAAGCGAAAATAGTGGAGGGGAACGAATTCGGAAAGGGAGGAGCAGGAGGATGACGGAGGATGACAATGACGACGAAGGCAGCCACGACGCGGCATGACGACGATCGCAATTACGAAGGAACCTCGGGCTTGCTCAGGATTCCGTCGCCATCCTTGTCGAACTTGGCGAAGGTGGAGTTCAGAGCGTCCATCTGGATGAGGCGGAGGAAGGAGGTGGAGGGTCTCGGTAGCTGTTATTTGTTAGAAGATTTCGGCGATATTCGGACGCACTTTAGAGGCTCCGGGATATGTTCCAAGGTTTCGGGAGGTCTCCAGGCTTACGGAGGAGATCAAGGATCGGAAGGTGACGGCGGAAAGAAGTAAGACGGGGAGGGAGGACCATGACGAGGAGGAGGGCAGACGCTACAGCTTTGAGGCGAAAGTCCGAGCAACGCAAAAACAAACTAGAGGAGTTAACAGAGATGAGAAGGAGGAGTGTGAGCTAGAAGGAGGAGGAAGGAAAACTCAGGACTGAAGACAGCAATACATAGAGGCAGGGAGAAGGGGGAGAAAGCGGCGGAGAAGGGGGGCACTCAGGAATTCTGGAGGAGGAGGAACAAGCAGCGGGGTGTGAAACATGAGGAATACGCATTGTGGAGAAAGAAGGACACGGGTAGGAGGAGAAGAGAGGGGGGTAGAAGGAAAGAGGAGGAGAAGGAGGACGAGGCTAGGAGTAGGAGGAAGAGGAAGGGGAGGAGACGTGAAGGGGAGGGAGGAGCAAACGGTGGCGGCGGAAGCGAAATGTGTTCAAAGCAATTCTTCTATGAGACGACGAGCATTAGCGAGGAGTAAGAAGGAGCCGGGAACAATCACAATGATAACCAATAGTCGCAAGCATGAGGGGACATACCGATTGA